GAATGCCTGGCCCACCTTTAAGGGAGGAGGTGGAGGAAAGAGAAGGGAAGCAGAGAAGGGAGGGGAGAAAGAGAGGGGGGACGTACCGAGAAAGAGAAACAAACAAAAGTGGGGTTAGTAGTGGTTATGGATTAGTGTGCGAAGACTGCCTGGAAGATCGCTGGTGAAAAAACCCCGAGAGGATGGAGGTTCAGGCTGCCCCACAGAAAGCGCAAGCCCACCCGGAGAGATGGAAGGCTGGTCAGGGATGGCTGCGAGCCCAGCCGGCTGCGTGCAGCCCGCCGGGGCTCCCTGCTGCCTCTGGGATGAGCTGGGCACCTCCTGCCCGGCGGTGGGGTTTCAGCGACATGGCGCAGGTCGCAGAGGCTCAGACAGCCTGTGGTTATCCCGTTCAAACCCTCCTGCCCCTGGGAAAGGCAATCTGCCTCAGCTCCACCACAGAAGCTTCATCTGCCAGACTGGATGTATGCAGCCATTTTGCCTGCAGACGCCAGAAAGGAGAGCAGGATTTGACCTGGAATAGCGAGGTAGTGGTCACCCCCTGTAGCCCCTTCACCGGCCAACATCCAGCAGCACACAGACCTTGGGAAGGAGCAGCAGGAGGCAAGGAGGTTGCTTCCCAGACCAGGGGACAGCTCGCAAGCGTACTGCTGCCTCCTGCCCCAGGCACTGCAGGCAGGACGCCCTTTGGTGGACTGAGGGAGCCCGGGCATGGGGTTCAGCATCGCGGACCCCAGCAGGCACAGCTCATCATCCCAGAGCATCCCTGATAGAGGTAATTGGTCTAGTAGGTGATGGGTTAGAGGTTTTTGGGTAATGAGGGCTGCGCAAAATGGAGGAGATGCAGTGGTGAGGGCAGAGGGCATCACCTGGCTGAAGTATTAGGTCTAAGCAGTCACCAAAAGAAAGGCACAGTGGTGTTACACAGCATTAGTTAGGGTGTGGGTGAGGGAGAGAAGGGGGCAGAGGAGGAGGAGGAGAAATTGCCAGTTCCAACTTCCCAGAGGAAGATCCCCTGTTCAGTGGACAACCTGGCCCACTTCGGTTCAATGGCCCACCTCTTCCCACCCAGGGCCCTGCCATGACCACACATGGACACCCGTGGTCAGGGCATTGGAACCGTCTGTGCTTAGTAACCTCCTCCAGCTGCATCCCTCCACCTCTTCCCCCAAATTCCCCCATCAGCAAGGGGCACTAAGGCAGCAAGGATGGGGAGTTAGGGAACAGGGTGTTGTATTCTTCCTGAAAAGTAATGTCTCTGAGTCTCCGGAAAGCCAGAAACACGAGGAAGCCCTGTGAGGAGAGGGTTGTGGAGAGGAGAATCAGTAAGGAAGAGCAAACCAGAGCATTTGATTGAAATAAAAACCCCAAGGAACCAGATGAAGAGGATGCCTATTTAGCCACTCCAAGCCCATATATCGGGGAGGACTGCTGCAGGTGGTAGCACCTCAAAAATGGTCCTGGGGCACCCCTTGCAAAAGCCTCGCTTCTCATCACACTTTCTGCTGGAGCTTGCGAGGGGCCTTCGGCAGCACTCGAGTGCAGGGTGCCACTCATGGGGGGACACACACGCTGCTGTCCCTTGCCCCGACTTGGTGTCACCTTGGCAAGGGTGCTGACCACACAAACCTTTACAGCCCCCCTGCCTCTCTGATAGCTTTGTGGTCTTATGGCACCCTTCCTACCCAGCCCCCGCCCAATGTTAAGGCCTGTAGGGAGAGAAGAAGATAAAGCCACAAGGACTTATGCATGGAGACTGGCCCAAAATGCTTTCCTGCTTGGCACTATCCTGTCACTTCAGACAAAAATCAGTTGGGCTTGGCGCTTTCAGAGACAGGAGGAAGCAGTAGGGGATATTTATATTGCACACCACAGTTTTTCCAGGAAACTAGCAATAAAGAACTGCTGGGGAAAGGGCAGTCTTAAGAGACAGCACCATCACCTTCCTAAGAGGCGACCCAGGGAGGCGGTGCTGCAGTCTTGGGTGCAGAGGGAGAGCCCAGAGGGAGAGCCCAGAGGGATGCCTATCACAGCCTCTTGTGGCCACTGATGACATTTCACGTGATGGGAGCAAAACACAGAGGGAGATGGGTGCAAACCCCTGGCCTGGAGCTCCCTTCTCTGTTTAGCGTCTGTGAGGTAAAAATGCTGTTAAAGTCCTCTGATGCACAGAGAAAATGATGCTTAGGGAGCTGGCTCGTCCAAGGTCATATTCAAGGTTTGCCAAGGACACTCCTTACTGGGATATGGGACCGTCTTTCCCATTGTGCTTACTAATGCTCTAGCACCTTCTTCACCTAAGTTTTTGAGCCCTTGTTTCCCAAGTTTACCTCCTAACCACCTGCCCTCCTGCTTTTCCTTCTCAGAAGCCATGTGAACTGAGATCTCGGAGGGAATCACTCTTAGCCAGTCACCTTCCATTCCCCACAAGTTAATACAGTGCAGAGGACACTTGATCCAACATCATGGCTTCTGTACTCACCCAGGTGAAGATGGAGAAGAACGAGAACGTGATGGCTGCTCGGGCTGCATCCCCTCCCTCATTCATTGGGTTGTCCTCTTCTTTTGAAGCTTGCCACTGGTTGGTCAGAAAGCAGAAGCCAACGAACCAGAGGAATGCCCAAAAGGCTGGGATGGACCACCACCAGCATGCCAAAAGGGAAGGGGAGAGACATCAAGAAGGTATGTGTGAACAGAACATAAACACATCACATTTCTCCGGAAGCTTCAACCCTATGAGACCCACCAGCGTGTTTCAGACTGGCCCAAACTCTGACTGCACAGCCTATCTAAGCCCAAGCGAGCTGGCAGGCTCTCTGACAGCTAAATTGTCAAGGTGACGATAGGTTTCTGCAGAAAGTACCTCAGGAGAGTTCATTTACTTGTGTTTGGATTCATCACAGGACTTGCATTTGGCCTTGGGAGGGAGCCTGAAGGGCTTCCAGTACAGGAGCAATCACCTGGGCTCTCTGGAACAGCCACTGCTTCGCAACCCTGTCCTGCAAGGACAAGAGAAGAGCAATTCCTTCCAAGGGAGCTGCAGAAGAGCGGGAAGCAGCCGGCCTGCAGTTGCACAGACACTGACCTTTGCTCAGGACAGCACAGGCTAAGGGACCCACACTGAGGAAGGATGCTGAAGGATCATTAACATGCTGCACCCCCAGGAAAGGGGTTAAGGTAGGGGGGAGCCCCGAGTCCAGACTGGCAGCTGGTGGGGAGGAGTGGGGCTCACCAGGCACAGCCAGATACCCGGCAGTGAAGGAAATGGGCATTCCTAAGTGGCAGCAAAACAGGGCTCAGTCCTTCCCCTTCTCTTGTTAGCTGTACACAGGACTGCTAGGCAAGGTGGGTAACTGTGAACAAACTTGCAAGCCAGAAGTCCTAAACAAGTTCAGATGCTGCAATTGATCCTGCTCTTGCTCCACTCGTGGCTCCTTTGACAAACTGTGGGGGGACCCTGATGTGGAGAAGTTTGCCTGTAGGGCGGGAGTAAGCCAAGAGAGCGATTCAGGATCACAGCCAAGAGCAAAGCGACTCCTCATGCTGCCAGTGACTGGCTTTACACATGCACAGACACATGCACCATTGCCCTGTCTGTCACTTCAACACACTACTGGGAATGGAGCGATCTGACTGTAAGCTAGAATAAGCCTCAGGGCTAGATAAGGTCCTGCACAGCTATTCACATGGGGAATGCCAGGTAACCTAGGAGGACTGGTTTAGTCAGCCTGCATGAAATCCTCAACGTTTTTTTATGTTAAAATATATGGGGTTCGATCACCTGGAGCCGGAAAAGAAGGAAGTACCATCTCCAGAGGCATCAACACTTGGCCTTAGCAAGCGCAAGCATGCAGGGAGGCAAGAGCTGCTCAGCCTAAAGGGCTCCCTGAGAGTCTACGTTCTCCTGTGGAGAACACCAGAGAGGCATCAGCCAGGTTGGCTGAGAAGAAGGGAAAGGGAAAGAAAAGGACAGAGAGAGAGAGAAGGCCTGAGAAAGCAAAGACCCCAAAGACCTCCCTGCTAGCAGGAACCTGGCCTGCAAGGTGGCAGAAGCTCCCTCCCTCTCCCTTGTCGTCGGCGGCAAAGGGCACTATGGCCAACTGGCCAGGAAGCTCACCCGAGACTCCAATGTCCGAGAGCACTGCCTTTTTGCGGTCCTTGACGCTGCTGATCTGCGGGAAGTAGGCATCCAGAGCCAGGTACAGAAGGCAGCTGAGGAAGGCGAGGACACCCACGGTAATGCCATAGTTGCAGGCATTGCGATTGCGGTTGAAAATGCAGTGCTCTTGTGTCTCACCCGGGCGGTTCACGTACCCTTCATTGACAATGGAGCCAAACACCACAATGGAGAACACCTGGTGGGGAGGGAGGCAGAGGACACGTCAGGGCAAGCCCCAGCTCTATGAACCAGCACAAAGGAGCTGAGCTTTGCACAGGACAGCCGCCCTTCGCAGGCACCTCTTTGCTCTGCTGAGCTCCCGTCCTGCTGCCTTGCCTGGGCTGTAGCCACAGGGAATTTACTGGGGAGGAGATGGTCTCATTTTATTTCTGAGGACCAACTTAAAATAGGACACTTTTAGATTGAGCCTTTTTATCCATCTGATCTAAAGCGATGTAAAGCAGTCACAGTCTGGAGCAAGGGTGGCTTCCCACAGACATACAGGGAGGCAACGTGGAGTGTAAACTGGGATATGGTTTTGGTGCGGGTGCCTGCATACAGGGGCTCCACGAAGCGGAAATCCTCTTAGTCTGCCACTTACTCTCCCACCCACTCCTTTCTCTTCTAGGAATTCATTGTTTCTACCACGCATTTGTTCACTACTTTTATCTGTCCAGCTACTGTGCTCTTTTCCCCACCCACCCTCTCACAATCCACAGCTCTGCGGCTCCATTCTGCCATGCTCCCGGTCTCCCCATCTCCCTACACATCACATACCTCTCGCCACCAGTTTTCCATCAGCCTATCCATGACACCACCTATCCTTCTACCCACTCACCCCTACGCCAACACCCTCCAACCTTCCCCAAGGATTTCACAGGCCAAACACCCCCCTTCCAGGTCCACCTGGCAGGACCACTGTGAGTCTTCCCTACCCATCACTGCCACCGCCACTGCATGTTATTTTAAATCAGGTAGAATTAAGGATGAGTCCAGGTAGAAATGCCATAATCCGCAGCTGCTAGTCTAATCTTCGCTCACAGGCTTAGCCTTCGTCACCTGCCACAAGGCCGTCCCTCTTTGACACAGCAAGTTCACCAAAGCAGAGAGCTATTTACAGCAGCCCCAGTCCTGCATCTCAAATATACAGCTTCTCCTCACAGCCACAGGAGAAAGAGGGGAAGATTAAGGTGGCACGTACAGATTTTTCCTTGCAGGGCATCTTGAGACCCTTGGTAGGAACAGCTTGCCTGCAGGCTGCCTGTGAGGGCCCCAGGCAGACGGGAAATGGGGCCTCAAGCATGGGGTGAACACACATATGACGTGCACTAGGATGTCACCGGAGCACTCCGCTAGCCTGGGAGTTATCTGCACCCTGGGAACCACCACCCAATCCCCAAGGAAAAGGAGCACACAAGATGAGGTGGCCAAGTCTCCTGCAGGGAGTGGAGGTAGGTCTGAGGGTTTGCTAGGTCAGAAGGACCCCAGTACCACTTAACCCAACCAAGCACCAGGAGAGCACACAGCAGACAACCTAGAAAGCAGAGAAGCAGCTTTGTGAATGCAGGGAAAATTCGCTGTTTATTAATACCAACCCAATACACCATCTGTCATTGCTGGGGTTGGATGCCTGAGATCCATAGCACAGACCTCTGCTGTTTGACCTGTCACATCAAGAACCAGAGGAAAAACCTTACTCATGGTCCCTGACAGCCCTTGGGCAGATACTCAGCGCTGACCACATTTCAGCTGCCAAACTCTAACAAGTATCCACTGACACCGATACTATTTTTTCACCCCAAGGCTCCTAATTGGGTCACACCTGGGTTGCTGACATTGGGCATAGTTTTGACACACTAGAGCAAACTAAAAAAGCTGGAAGCCAGCACTCCTAAGCGTGGGGACTATACGGGTTCTCTGAAAGTTCACAAAAGCTTTTTAAGCTTGGAAGTAAAACAACTGATTTGTCCTCCTCCTCCTCCTTCTTGATAATAGAGATTGATCATACTTTGCAGAAATTACCCGTGGGGGAAAAAAATCAAATAAAAATCTCTTCTGCCTGAAGCAAAGGTTTGGTCTTCAAAATTTCAGCCTGCATTGTTGGGAAAGGCAGCAAAGTTGCACACAATTACAGCCAGGCTGTTTCAGTGGGAAATCTCGCACACCTTCTCAACAGGCTGGGCTGACAGGTCTGCCTAGGACCATTGGCAGTAACACAGTGTTCCTCTAACCTGAGTGGGAGCTGACAGACTCCTTGAAGTGACGTCCCGATGTGAGGCTGTGACCAGCACCGATGCTGCCACCTGAAGTACCAACCTCCTTATACTGGGATTACAAAGTGGGTGCCCTGTTTTCCACAGCATTAGACAAAAAGCGTAGCTTCTTTTTGGAAGATGAGAAACAGCCTCAAAAGTGACATAGCCTGGTGCTCAGTTTTGGTTTAGGGCTCAAAACTGGTAAAATGTTGATTCCCTGAGCCAGGTCAACCCTTGCAATGAGCTGTATTGCAAGTCCCTGCTTCCTCATTTGGGATGAATGAACTTCTGTAACGGCCTCTCCCCAGAGACACCTCTGTTTACTCTGCTCATATGCTGATACACATCCTCCCTCTGCTTTTATCTTTGGGTTTGCTGCTGGCCTGTAAGGGCTCTCATCTGCGACTGAAAAAGCAAAATCATTCCTTTTTGCATTTGCCCCTTTATACCTATTGATGTTGGCCCTTCATGAAGACACAGCTCAGAGTCACGAGATCAGAGGGACATCTCCCTCTCCCTAAAATTTCAAGTAGAGGCAGCATTCCCAACTTCCTGTCTCCAACTTCAGTCAGCCAAGATGCCACAACTTCTCTCCAATGAAGAGAAACCTGGTTTACAGCCTGGAGGTGCCCAAGGTATGATTTACTGGCAAGCATCTGATCTTAGAAGTTTTCTGGGGAGATTCCACTTGGGGTATTCTCACTCGTGAGCAGAACAGGTCACTGCAGATGTTTATCTTCTGTGTCCTGAAACAGACACCTTTGTCCTTAGGAAAGCCTTCTAAAGACCAAAGCACAGTAGCTTAAGGGATGTCTCCTTCTGTCCATGCTTTCCTTACTACTGGTATCAGCTCTGGTCCATGCTCCACTCCCTGGTGCTGCAGAGAGGACAAGGTTAGTGGCAGTGGAGAGGGTTTGCTCCCTTTGCCAGCCTACCACCGCCCTCACAGCACAGCAAAACGCCATGAGGATCCGCTGTGCTCAGAAGCCTTGAGCTGGACTGGATAACAGAGACTCGGCAAGAACGGGCAGGCTCAAACTAGAGGTTTCAGACCAACAGGCAGAGCTGGACAGTAGGAGAAGAGGTGATTGCTGCTGCTGCCGACAGGCAGCATCACCCATTTTAGCCCCGTGATGTCACCCAGAAGCTGTTGCGATGGATGCACAGACAAACAATTTTCTAGAAAAAATTATAAGAGCCCAGATCTTGCAGCCCTCAGGAGAAACCACTGCACACTTAATCCATGGCAGCTACTTCTTGTCGGTAAGGGGGGCAGGTGGGTGGAAGCTCACTGATGTAGCAAGTCATCTTAGAAAGAGCAAGTATTATTTCCTTGATTTCACAATCCGTGCCTGTGCAAATGTGATCCGGGCAGCAGGTGCAGTATGAATGATGCCTGGATTATAAACAATGCACCAAGTCTGCAAGGATGAAGCATTTACCTTCCCGTTCCCATCACATCTGCAGCACTTCTGAAGAAATGCCAGCTACCAGCAGCACTGGCACAAGCCTCTTGCCCCTCCGCGTTACTGCTGCTTGTTCCTTCTACCCATTTGGCAGAGTGAATCCTTGCTGCACAAGGCCTCGCCTACAGCCACTAATAAAATGGTCCAAAATATGCATCCAGCTGCGAAGAGGAGGCGAGGAGAAGATGACAGGAGTCTTCTCCTGACTGAGCACTGAGACGCAGGGAAGTGACTTGTCCAAAAGCAGACAGGAGGCGGGCACAAAGCACTGCATCCTGAGACTCCCAAACGCAGCCCATCCTTCCGCTCCACAGAGGGAGATCATTAGCTGCTTTCCTATGCTTGGCGACAAAAAACAGCCAGCCATCCCCAGTGTTGTGCACCTCAGTGGCCTCATTTCTTCAGCAAGGCTGTTTAAGTCAGCTAACAGGACTTGAAGTAACTAGATTTTTAGGTTGAGAGGGTTTCCTTAAGCCTCCAAGAGCAATGTTAATTGGGCAGGTATGCAGCCTGTCTGGAGGTGAGCATTTAATAAGCAGTAATATATTCGGCTGCACTCAAAAAAGGGACAGAAAACAGTATATGGAGAAGATCTGACCAACTCAGAATTGCTGCCGGGACCCAGCTTTTCTCAACTTCACCGCTCCTTAAACATCATATCCACACAGGTCATTGCAATGATTTTCCTAGACTTCTGTCTTCATCAAAGAGTTCCGAGACACCAAGTGAAGCCCAGAGCCAGGCACTTTGCAAAGCTGACAGAGACAGAGCAACCTGCTGAAAGATGCAGCAAAATGAACGTAATGCTAAGCACTGCGGGGAGGAGATGGGGAGAGGCTGAGAGTTTCCCTGTGCCTGTTTCTCAAGGGGCTCGTGCTGGCCATTACAGGTGTGTAAGAGCTCACTACAGTGAGAAAAGTGCAGAACAGGCAAAAGGCTGCATCACACCATAAAAGACTTTTTTTTTTTTTTTCCCTCTCACTGAACTGAGTGATCTGATTTTGCCAGAGGTAAAGGCGAGAGATGAGCCCTCAGAGGAGAGGCTCTCTGGTCCCTCCCCACCTCCCTGCTGCAGGCTCAGCCCAGCAGAAAGCCAGGCAAAACCTCCTGAGCATCATGTGAGGCTTTCCACCATGCTGCCCATCCCCAGCCGTGCATCAGATGCTCCTGAGAATCATGTGATAGATGCACAGCACGGCCAGCCTCCAGCAGGGCACTAGGATTTTCCTGCACCTCATCCTAGGAATTTGTCACGCTGCCTCCTGACTTCATCCCCAAGATCCCCACAATGGTTGTAGCAGGGATGAGGCTGAAGAGGGTTTCTGTTGAGCCGCCTGCTTGGGCTCGTTGTGGTGCCCTCCAGTCACAGGCTCTGTCACACTGCGTGTTGCCTCTCCCTCTCCCAAACCCTCTTTTTATTCTATTATAGAGAGGAAATAGTTTGGTGACATAATATTCCTCGTGGGACTTCAAAT